GGTTATGGCCTTTGTCTTCACTATTCTGAATACAGCTGGTATTTGAAGGATTAGTCTGGTTAAAACAGGTTTACAGTGGCTTTGTATAATTTGTCAGGACAGCGAAATTAAACTGGATCACAGCAATAAAAACAACTATTTATTCCTGAAAATAAATATCTTAGTCAACCAATCACAGATTTCTTAGCAATGAATCACTTTTAACAAATCTTTCAGAAAAAAACTTCACCCTGGTTTCTAGCACATGGGAGTAAATTAGGGAAAAAAAAGGGTATTGTTCACTTTTTACTGTAAGAGAAGAGTGAGAAGGGTATTATATTTGTACATGCGTTCTGGTAGAAAAGCACTCAAGATGTTTCTACTTAATGACAAAAAGTTTTTAACTCAAGTTTAGTATTTCAACATATCTAAAGGAAGTGTTAAGGATACTTATGTATATATCTTACAGATCAAGAAAACTCCATGTTTGGTACATTTACATATTTTAGTACCACACATGCATCAATTGATTTCTCTACTGAAGTGCAGCAAGTACTTGAAGCAAATATGATTCTCTTGGAAGGCACTGAATTACCCTTGATGTGCCTGTTTTCAGGAGTCTGTGCTTAGTACAGGGCAGTTTTCTCCATGCTGCTGCTCTCTGACCTCTTTCATGCTTTCTAAGGAGCTCCTTGGGTAGGCAGGTACCTGCTCCTGCGTGGTGAATTGGGAGGAAATGCAGCTACTGATACTCATCCTGGCAGTGCTCTGACTGCTGACTAGCAGTGACAGACTAAAATCCTTGTCATGTTCCTACCATACGGATCTCTTAAACCACAAGGAATGAGCATCAGCTTGCAGTAGGCTACATTCACTCAACTAAATGGTTAGATACTACAGGCAGAACAATTCTCACAATCTTAACCATTCCATTTCATCATTACATCTTGATTTATAAAAGTTGGGGTCATTTGGGCTTTAAAAAAGAAATCTTCTTCCCTTTCCTTTTGCTGGAAACTACTATTCCTCCTTGTCAGTTTTCCTGCAACGTTTTAAAAAGAAACACGGGGGGAAAAGTGCTTGACCACCCTTTCAGTGTGGAAATTTTTCCTACTGTCCGATCTAAACCCTTCCCGGCACAACTTGAGGCCATTTCCTCTTGTCTTATTGCTTATTACCTGGGAGAAGAGAATGACCCTCACTTGGCTACAATATCCTTTCAGGTATTTGTAGAGAACAAGAAGGTCTCCCCTGAGCCTGCTTTTCTCCATACTAAGCACCCCCAGCTTCTTCAGCCGCTCCTCATCAGACTTGTGCTCCAGACCTATCACCAGCTCTGTTGCTCTTCTCTGGACTCACTCCAGTCCCTCAATGTCCTTCTTGCAGTGACTGGCTCAGAACTGGACACAAGATTTGTGGTGTGGCCTCACCAGTGCCCAGTACAGGGGGACAGTCACTGCCCTGGTCCTGCTGGCCACACTACTGCCGATCCAAGCCAGGATGCCATTGGCCTTCTTGGCCACCTGGACACATTGCTGGCTCATGTTCAGCCACTGTCAATCAGCACCCTCAGATCATTTTCCACTGAGCCACCTTCCAGACACTCTTACCCCAGCCTCTAGAGCTGCCTGAGGTTGTTGTGACCCAAGTGCAGGACCTGGCACTTGGCCTTGTTGATCCTCATACCATTGGCCTCAACCCATTGATCCAACCTGTCCAGATCCCTCTGCAAAGCCTTCCTGCCCTCCAGCAGATCAACACTCCCAGCCAATTTGCTGTCATCTACAAACTGATTGAGGGTGCCCTTGTCCAGATCACTGATTATGACGTTAATCAGGGCTGGCCCCAACACTGAGCCCTGGGGAACTCCACTAGTGACAGCCTCAGCTGGATGTAACTCCATTCACCACCACTCCCGTGGCCCAGCCATCCAGCCAGTTTTTTACCCAGTGAGGAGCACACCTGTCCAAGCCACATCACAGCACCAAAGATTTTTCTGTATTCTCTAAACAGCCAAGACAGCCCTTGTGAGAGAAACAAGGTATGTCATCCAGTATGATCCTGAAGTTTTTTCCTCTCTCTCTCTAGAAATCATGTGTCCTGCTGTGACAGACCACAAGGACAACAGAAAAGCACACACAGTGTAATTGTTACAAAGGCTCATGGTAGTAAAAGCCAAAACTGTTTCTCCGTTTGATATAGGGTGACATGTATGGAGAGAGACCATACTTAACACTATGGTAGTAACTGAGGAGCTGAACAGCCCTGACACATATACCACCCCCTACCAGAGAGATCCAAACAGCATTAATAATGAAGCCTTTGTATTTATATAATCAGCAAAAAAAAAAGACTAGTACTCATTAACATTGTGCAGGAACATCATCACCAATACAACGATGTGCATCTACTGCAAAAAACAGAATCCTCTTTGTGGGGGTGGTGAGTGGGTATGGATGCATGCCTGTGTGCACGTCCCTGTTCTTCTGTCTATGTACTGTATTTTATGAGCACAGATAAGCTCACAGGCAGAGATGAGTCAGAAAATGCTTATCTTTTATTCTTCCTTCCACATGACAGTTGCAAATTTAGTATCAAGAAATCAACTCTTTGCCCAGTGAATATTTTAACCAAAAAAAGGTACAAATAAGCAAAAAAAAAATAATTGGAGAGATTTCTGGTGAAAAAGAAACTTTTCAAGAAAAAGGAAGAGTTTTGGTTTTGGTATTTAGTTTGTCCAAGCTTACTGTATTCACCAAGTTCAAATTTTTTCAATCGATTCTATTCAAATGCTAAAGCAACCTGTTTTATAAGTAAGTTCAGCAAGTAAAGGGTTCATCCAGATCAAATTTCTAACTGCCTTTCATTAGCATTCCTCCTGCTCCAGATACAGGAGCAGAATTTCTTCCAGCAGTAAGTACAAGACAGTTACCTCTGGAAGAAAAAAAAAATCACAGAAGAGGAAACAACTTGCCATGGGCCAAGTAGAACTGAGTTGCTTTTCTTAAACAAGCAAAATCAAAAACTCCATACCCAGTTAAAGCAACCCTTGGGCGGAGGCAGGCTTAAAAGTGAAAAATTAACCATTAGTTCTCCACTTAGATTCCCAGTGCAACAACTCTTGCACACAAGTTCTCACCCTCTGAAGTCTGGGCTGAAAGAGGCAGTCAGAGAAAATAATGGGAGATAATACATGGGTTTCAGGGCATATCTTGTTCTCTCACCTACAAAAGGATGGAAGGAAGGACAGCCAATCAGATTGAAAAAGAAAGCTCTGGTATTGCCAAAGTGGTGTTTGTGTTGAATTGTCAAGTATTTTTCTTGGTTTAAATAAGAAAAGCATCCTATCTTCTATGAAGGACTAGAAGGGTTAGGTAACTGCAGTGGACATTTCAGTCACAGGTATAACTAAGAACTTGTCATCAACTGTCCTGTTTCTTTTTCTGCCTCTGTCTGACAATAATAGAAATTGTTCTTGTTTTCCATCAGGGTGACTAGTTTTCTCTGCATCTTTGTACACTTACTATTGTGGCATTTTTCTCAATCTGACTCTCCTTCCAGGGCTTGTTTCCCTGCATCTGCTCAGCCCACACCTATAGCCCCATCCCAGCTGTCTGCAAATGAGTCTGTAAAGCAGGCATAACAGTTGTCACCAAAATTACTGTGACCAAATAAAATCTTGGTCCATAGTAGTACTATTTGTGATGAAACAGAGGAAGCCTTGCTACGTCTGGCTGCAGGCAGGAGCATGCCCAGCCACACTGCCATGGGCATTCACCACCTGTAGCCCTGCAGCCCATGAGCTGGAGCAGGGAAGAGGACAGACTGGCAGGACAGGTTGTAGGAGGGGAGGCACAAACACACGCTTTAAAGTGTCGAGTGTTTGAACCATGGGATATGTTAACACCATGGACTGCAGTGATGAACTTTTCTTGGTTGCTATCTAGAGAAAATGTTTCCAACCTTGACCATTTTTCTGTGACACTGCCAACAGATTCACTCAGCAACATTAAAAAGACACATACAAACTATATGTGTATTTAATGTTCAGGCAACACCTTTCTTCCCATAGAAGGCCGCTTGTATAGGGCAGTCAACATGCAGTGGTGCCTACCTTTAGTTAGGGAATGAATTCCAAGCTTCACTTGTGAGAAATTCCCACTTCCTATTTCTCCTCTGACTCGATAGAAGGCAATTCTCTTTCCCAGGGTTAATTCTTTCACCACTTTTTCATTGTGAGACATATCCTGCATTAGTTTCTCAAATGGGGTCAGCCTGTGCTGCCTGCTGTCTTCATCTCCTCCATAGCACTCCAGGTGCCCATCATCTTCTCCACTATCCTCATGATTCCACCTGGAACAGCGGTGTTTTCTATGACCTCCTTCATTCACATATCCTGTTGTCATAGTCTACAGGGTAATCACTTCCCCATTAACAAAATGTCGCAATAACAAGCTTAAATGAAGTAATTCTGAATGAATATGCAATCCTGCACATAATAGAAACTGCGACAAATGTAGCAAAAAAAAAAGCTGTTTACGGAAAGTCCAAGGATTAGTTTGAAAATTACTTAAAAACCATATCTGCCCAACCTGCATATTGCATGTCCTGTTCAAAATCAGAGATAAACTGGAAGCCGTATACATCAATTTCTCACTTACAGAGTGAGTATGTCGGGATCTTCAGCTACAAGGTGAAAGAGGCTTTGCAATTAAAACTGCAAACTTTGTGCAAGAAAGCAGCAAGGTGCTCAGCGTCTACACAGTACATTTGACACATGGAAAATATTTGACACAAATTTTCAGGCTTTAGCTTGATGCTTTGAAAACCAACTTGATAGATAAAGGTCAAACAGAAAGCTGATTAACTGCTCCTAATAAATTCAGATACTTCCAGTTAATTTTGAATAGCTGACCTTAAGAGCGCAGTTCTACTTGATTCTGGTACCATTCCAAGAGCTGGCTGTAAGGTTTGCCTTTGATTCATTCTTCAGCTGTGAGCTTGTCACTGTGACTTGGAAATGTCACTGTGTGTTGAAGCCTTGCTGTAGAAAGTTTGTTGCCGCTCTGTTTCCTTCCCATGGTGGGTTTAACGAAGCAACTAATTCTAGAAGATGACAGGAAAGGCAAAACCTGTGCCCTAGGCAAAAGAAATGCTGCGCCTCAGTATCCCTGCAGTCACATGGCAGGACAATACAGGATTAAGTAACTGCAATGTCAGGTTAACTCTCCTTTATTTAGATGAGCTTTCTTTAACACCTTGAGCCTTCTCAAAATTTTGCCAGACATCTCGTGTTCCTAAGCAGACAGATGAAAAAAGTAATTAAAACCTTTACATAACAGCCACACGCTTCACTAAATGACAGCCTCCTGCATACCATTTCACCAGTTTAACTCTGGCAGCACAGACGTGGAAGTTCTTACTATAAATACACAAGCATCACTTACCTTTAAAGCAGCACACCACTATTTTCTTCTTTACCTTTCTTCTTTAACCTGGGAAAACAGGAGTTGACCAGCAACTGCTAATCATGCAGCCCGAGGGTGGTGAGCTGGGCATGAAAGCTCTTAAGAGGGCAGAGCTCACCTCCCCTGCTCTCAGCCTGCAGCATATCTGACTGATGAACACAGGAGACACCTGACTCCCAGGACAGATTCACCAGATTGAGGGGGAGTGAATTAGACCAGTAACTCAATGCCTGGGGCTTAGGTAGACAGTCAGCTAAGGTGCTGCACTAGCAGAGGGCACGTAACATTGCCAGGTGGAGCTGCCCTCCACCCCCCATCCCCGATCTCCTGTGTGAGCAAGACAAAGAGAGGTCAGAGGTACCACCTCAGATGTCTGTCACTCTCTCTGCCACTTCTCTGAATCAGGAATGTTTCTTATATTCTGTTTGTTCTCCCTTTGAGGAAAGGATGATTTCTTGCAGGATTGCCTGAATTCTGACCCATAGTTGTTTTCTGCTTTAACCTGTTTCACATCACAATTGTAAAAATATTTCAGGTAATAAAAAACTCTTTATATGAAACTTAACTGTATTTCACAGTTTTTGTGGTGGACAGCACTCTAGCAGAGCAGGGCTTTTGAAAACCACTCATCTGCTCTGCCACAGCAATGCAGACATTAGAGAGGCAGAACTCTGATCCCATTCTGCTCTATGAGCTTGAGGATAACCACAGCTGCACAGGCTGTCCATACAAAAGCCTGGAAAACTCCATGAGCAATGTCAGAAGTCCCACGTACAAACAAGAAGCTATTATTTAAATAAGTGTCTTTGGATGGGCGGTGGCATCCTTGTCACCTTACCAAAGAACAGCTGTAACTTATGGCTCTGAGCACTCTAGAATGGCAGGTATAGGCAATCTTGCTTTGCAAAAGGAGAAACACAGAACTACTAATGGTGGGGAAAAAAAACCACCTACCAAACAAAAAAACTCCACAGGAGGGTCTGGATAGCTCAGTCTTATGAATGCCAGCCTATTCAGTATCAAGTCAAAGTCACCCAGCTAAAGACCATCTTCTGCAAAAATTATCAGGGCCCTTGCAGTTACCTGGCTGTGCAGGAAAGGCTGACTGTATAAGAAGGATTTCCTTCAGACTTGTACAGACAAGCCCCTCCTGAATACATTCGGTTAAGGCAGAGAAGGCAGCTAGCCCATTCCAAGTGAATCACAGGGACCAACACACCACATGGGAATGCCAGAACCTTGTGGGGATAGAGGAGTCAAGAGAAAGGCAAAACTGCCTCAAACCATCAGCACATGGCTGAATTCTTCCTGAATTTGCTCCTGCGGAAATTTCTCCTGGGGCTCAACATGCTCTTTTTTAGAGCACAGCCTACCATTAATCTCCCTTTCAGGCCTGCCACTTAATTGTCAATCCTGTAACCTCCTGGCATCTGGCCAACGGGTGAGGTGTTCCCTGTCTTTTGAGATGAGCTGTTTCAGTATTCCTGGTGTTAGAAGAATATATGCCATCTATTTATGGCCTACATTCCTTCCTGTATTCTAAACCAGTAAAATCTATCCTGATATCACACAAAAGGGCACTGACTGTAAAAGAAATTCTAAGAGAGAAGGGAAAACAAGGAAATCAGAAGCGATCCAAATACAATGAAGGACAATAATTTAATTTTTTTTTGCCACTCTGGCTGACTGGTGACCTGAAGAACCTCAGGAGAACTTATCTGCCCAAATAATAACTTTAAAAAACAAAATAAACAATCAAAAGAAAACAAAACCAAACCCAAACCAAAACAACAAAACCACTACAAAAAGCAAAACAAGACAGTGAACAAACGTATCAATCCTTTAAGACCTGTGCCAGCCCAACACTGCTGTTGTTTAACCTAGTTTTTCAAACTGACATTCTAGTACTATTTTAAGTGCTAAATACCCTCAGGATTCAGCTGCAGGTTCAGTTTAAACCCTGCATAGGAACTCTAAGGAAGTTTGGAATGAAAGCAAAAAGGATCAAACCAAGACAGAGATGACTGGATATACAGACTTTGGTTCCTAAAATCCCATCTTGACAGATATATGTGACATATAAGTGACTTGGTTTTAAGAAGCTTTAAATGGAGCATATGAAAACACACAAGCAGCTAGACCAAGGCTCCAAGCACTGTGTTTCGCAAATTGGTCTCTTTTATTAAGCCTGTCTTTCAGAGAAGCAAAAAACCACTCAGCTTTGAGTGCTTAAATTGCTGCAGCTCCTGTTAACAGTGAATGTGAAAGAAGCCACACTGGAGGGTCTCCTACCACTCAAATCCTCAGAGTAACAGGGTTTTTATGAGGATGCCACTGGATATTGCAACACATTCACCATTTCCCTTTTCAGGCCCTCTGCTGTCTAGCCCGAGGAGATGAGGATTTTGAAGGTTATTTCCCTAGGGTAGGGGATTAGCTTAATTTGCGTAAATTCCTTTGAAGAACAGCATGTCTCCTGCTTAGTACATTATATGCACCATGAGCCAACTCCAGAACCAAACTGAATTTAAAGTAGCAGGGATTTTTTTTTAATGTCATTTGCAGGAAAAATATTGTCCCCATTTTTTAATTGTAGCTTTGAAAGTTAAGTTGTTGCAAGCAAATACCAACAATCCAGTATACTCCTGTGTATAGAAGACCTATCTTTTATAAAAGACAGAACAGTTCACAATACCTGTACCACAGACCACACATGACACAAAAGCTCTGCTGTGCAGCCAGACACCACAGGGAAAATAATAGCTCCACTTTTCTGCTTTTGCTACACTAATATTGAGTGCACAGCTGTTGTGGCCAAAGGAAATCAACATTTTTTCAAGGTTTGCCCTGAGCACACTTTTTGATTTAAGAAGCACTCTCAGTCTTACTTCTGTGAATGCCAAAAAAGAGTGCCTATATAAAACATAACCCAGAGCTTCATAGGAGTTGTTAAAAAAAAAAAACCAAACAACTTTTCAAAACACAAAATATAGCACAGTTACAGGCTGAATGCAGACCTGTATATTCCCAGATCAAGTGGGAGGAAATACTAACAGTAGAGAACCTCCAGAAACAACTTGCTCTTTCTGCCCAGGGCCACATGCCACCCATTTCTGTACATCCCAGAATTACTGCAGTTAGCTGGTATAGCACTCAGTTTGCCAGTTATTGTTTGACGAAAACCAGACATGATGAACATTATTCTTATCACCTTCCTGCTGTGCCTGGGAACACTTTGATAGCAGCCACAGCGATGCCTCTGGGCTGGCAGGTGACCAAGGCATCGCTGCTGTTCCTGTGCTGCTGTGCTGGACAGGCTGGAACTCCTGTGGGAACTCGAGCTGAAGGGACTGTGACCTGCAGATGAGTCCATGTGGGAGTAGGTGCATCTCAAAGCATCTGTGGCCGTGGTTATGACTGTGCCACAGCTAGTACACCTCTGAAGGGATTATGGTACATTTCAAAGCCACTGTGGCTGTGGATAAGTCTCTCCCACAGCAGGTATATATATCTCTGAGGAGACTGGCTCAGAGATAAAATTCCACTCCAAGCAGGTACAACCCTAAGGGACTACAATCTGTGAGTAAGTCCAAGCTGGAGCAGGGGCAAGGGGAGCACTTCACTGCAATGTTAAACCATGACACGTTGACCTTAATCATCTTAAGGATCTTTTCCAACCTAAATGATTCTATCATTCTCAGCCTTATAAATATTCTTGCCTAAGACATTACATTGTTTTTCCACATATGGAATCCTAACATATGCAGCAGCCCTGGCTGAAACAGAACATAAACACCTTCAGTGGTTTCTATGCGAAACCTTGCTTGATAGCCACAGCACCAAGAAGGGAAGCGGGAAGAGAAAACAAACATCTGCACTGTACTGACTCCTTCACCACAACGAAATGTCTGTTGTACACACTGTTATCAAACCAAGAAAACAACAATTCTGGTGTAAAAAGGAAAAAACAGCCACAAAACTGCCCCTCCACATTAGAACACACTAACTCTTGCCCACAACTTAATTCTACAATTGTAACTCAGAGGAGAAAACAAGGGACTTTGAAACCTACTTATAAGTTTAATAAGCCTGAGCCCTGCATACTGAAGCAGGATACATGTGGATGATTGCTCAAGTATCTCCCCTTAACTGCACCAGAAAGACTGAAACCCTCATCTTTTGGGTTGATCCCACACTCGTTCTGGGATGGACCCCTAAAGACACACACAGTTATTTCACTGATGGAACCTGATCTCTCAAGGATTTTACCTGATCAGCCTATTCCCAGAGCTGCTGATGGGATACAGGCAGGAGCGTGGAAAGCACAACTCGGCACAGGTCACCGTAGAAGAAAACTATAGATCCAAGCAAGTTCCCATGTTCATTTAGTCCAACTTCCTTCTTGCCAAAACCAGAGATAAGAGATAGAGGAAAAACACACTGGTGTGCCCTAATCTGTAATCCAGTCTTAAGAGATCTTTCCATGATCTTTAGGCAGTGACTGGCTGTGTCTAGGGAGCATTCCAGCTTGACTCACAAGACCCACCAGGGACTGACAGGCAGTTCATGCCACACTGATATCAGGGTGCAGCACAGACTCACCTTTCCACCTCCCCAGGGGTTATCTGCTGACTGGCTGGCATGAACTTTTGGATGAGAGATGAAGGAAAGATGCACAGAGCCCTCAGCACTCAGAGCTCATGTAACCCCACCAACACAGGCTGGGTGCAACCCACCTGGTGGAGCCTCACATCAAATCCACAGTCTGTAGAGTGCTTAGGGTATATGGAAAAGAAAATCAATGCATAACAATCAACGCAACACAAACA